CATGACAGAGGAGATGTATAAGAAAGCTCACACCGCTATACGAGAGAACCCAGTCTATGAAAAGAAACCCAAGAAAGAAGTTAAAAAGAAGAGGTGGAATCATCCCAAGATGTCCCTTGCCCAGAAGAAAGATTGGGTAGCCCAGAAGAAGGCAAGCTTCCTCAGAGCTCAGGAGCAGGCTGCTGAGAGCTAAACCAAACAATTTTCTATGACTTTATTCAAGATAAAAGATAATAAATCACAAGAAAGCAAAAAAAAAAAAAAAAAAAAAAGTCTTAATAAGGGAGCTGGCAGTTGGCGTGGTGGTTAAGGGTGCTGGGCTCCCACACAGCTGGCCCTGGTTCAAGTCCTGGACCTGGTGGCTTGCTTTCTCACTTACCCTCTCTTTTTCTCTCTCTCGTCAAATTTAAATAAATAAATAAAGTTGAATAAAATTTTTTTAAAAGTCTATTAATAAAAATGTTTTTAAATGCAATTTTATTCAAAGTATTAAGAAATTATGAATTTTAAGCTGCCTCTAGAATCTCAAAAGCCAATCATAAATAACAAAATATACAGATAATTACATATATGATTATTCTTGCCTCCAGTGTGTCATAGAGAGATTATCTATTTGCATTCTGAAACAGACTCAAAGTATACTAAAGAAAATCAATTAATATAAGTGAAGAATAGAAAAATATCAAACTATAAGAAGTGGTTTTTATCATCTGATTCATTACTGAACTGGATAGTTTTTCCTATATTTTAGTATACATTATCACCAAGCCAATCACCAATATAATTTCATTTTAGGTTATTTGTCAAAAATTGTCTTTTTCTTTATATAATTTATTTAAAGTAAATTTTTAAATGTGTCCTTAATTATATCAGGTAAGGCTGAATATTTCCAAAGAGTTGTTAAATATGACTATTGTAACAACATTAAATAAAATTTCTTTTTTCGATGATCTCTTTATCATATATCATGCAGAAATTACAAGGGAGTTTCTAAATTCTTAAAGTTTCTTAAAATCAACTTACATGGCTTTAAAAATTGGGAAATATTAACTACTGAGTTGGGGATTTCTTCCTTATTTTACAGTTGAGAAACTAAGGCTCAGAGGAATTAAACAATTTGCCTAAGGACAGATAACTAGTAACAATAATAGATGGCAGATCTAGATTCAAACTCAGGACAATCTGATTCTAAAATTTATGTTCTTAATCTCTTTTCCTAGTATGTGCCTGTGCTCATGCAGTGGCAGCGAGACTTGGAGGAGGAGAAGTCTGAGTGGAGTTTTAAAGACAGTATCAATAAACAATGGCCATAGCTCAGACAGATTGAAGTTTTGCTGAGTCACGGTTAGGACTGATACTAACAAAGGCTTCTAGCTGAAAGATTTAGGAAAGGAGTGTTGCCACCATAAAAATAAATAAGCAAATAAATAAAATGAGAATTTCATTTAGGTAGAAAGATGCTGAGTCATAGGTAACATTAAGACTTACAGATAGAGTTGTCACATAGACTTTTGAAAATATAGAACTGAGGCAAGTTCCCACAAAGCCAGCAACCCAGCCGCACAGGACAGCTCCCTTCCTGCTGCTCGGGCTCGCCACAGTCGATCGCTCCTGAAAGGGAATTGTGTTCCTGTACCCTTGTAGATTCCAAACCAAGGTTGAAACAATGGTTGGTCTCAACCAGCTCATGGAAGATGAAGTGTTCATGGCTTTTGCTTCTTATACAACAATTATTCTTCTAAAAATGATGTTGATGAGCACTACAACTGCGTTCTACAGAATGTCGAGAAAGGAGTTTGGGCACATTCACACACATACCTGTCATGTTTTCAAGCCACCAGGTCCAGACTCCAGCCACATAGTCGGCCATGTGGACCCAGCTATCTTACTGCCACTGGCTGGCTGGAGAAGTGGAGTTATTACTCCCACAGCAGAGCCTCTTTTGATTGGGATAAACCATTTGAGTTTTGTATACTTCTGATTTAGGAAAGGTAATGTTGGTGTTCTACCCAACATTACCCTAAATAATGACTTAAAAAAAACAACTGGTGGCATGGGAAGGAGACAGAAAGGCTTAAAGCACATATTCTGTATTCTGGTAGGGCTTATGACACACTGAGAGGTGAAGAGCAAGGCTGCTTTAACATAATTAGAAACATTTTCATTGATTTGACCTCTGAATCTATTCAGAAACATTTGCAAACCACCCATTTCTCTCTTAATACCTGTTACAAACTTCTGTTCTCCAGAGCTTTGCTTTTATCTAGAGCTCATAGTTCTTTCTACCTTATCTCCTTGTTACCATCTAGAAGTATAGTGGAAGGATATTTGCATGTAATGAGGACATGTATCCACATGTTTAATTTTCTGGTGAGACAGTGTGTTGAAGCAGCAGTCCACAAGTGACTGTCTGCCACCAGGTCCAGGCTGTGCTATACTTTAGAAAAGGTATGACATTGGGGCCAGCAGGTGGCGTGGTAGTTAAGGTGCCTGGACTCCCACATGGCTGACCATTGTTCAAGTCCCAGACCTTGCTGCTTGAAATTCATGCCAGGCACATGTGCATACATGTCCAAAGTCCCAGGAGGATAGTGGAGAAGAGATTGTGGTGTAGCCTTTGCCCCATGGGGGGTGATCTCTCACTTTCCCTCTCACATTCTCTCTCTGCCTTTGGCAAGCACACATACCTTATGGCAAAAACCTTGAAGAAAAAGAATAGGAATGACATTAAGGAAATGTGCTTTGTTGTACAGAAAAAATAAAGGAATTTAAATTCAGAAAAAAAAAAAGAAAATATAGAACTGATGGTAGAGAGTGGGTGGTAGAGGGTTTGTATGAGGTATAAAGGGAAGAAACATTTAACAGACTAAAAGATATAAAGTTCTCTGTTGGACACACATACTTGTGTGTGTGTTCTGTTGGTGTATGTGTGTGTGTGTGTGTGTGTGTGTGTATATATATATATATATATATATATATATACACACATAGTATACACTTCATGATGGGGGCTTTATGTTAAATTTGAAATTTTAAAAAATTAAAAAGTGATAAATTATAATAAAAAATAAATGTTTAAAAGTAAAGTAAATAGGAGTGAGGTGCTGTTGAAAGTAGTGCTGAAAAACAGTAGAAGGACACACAGAGAGAATTAGAATCTGGTGAGTGAAAACAACATGATCTACCCATACTTGGGGATTTGAGGAGGAAAACATATGAGTGTAGGAAAGAAACAGCAACATTAAAAAAAAAAAGAGAGAGGGAGAGAGAAAAAAGCAAAAGGAGAACCAGGACCACACAGAATCGTGAAAGCCATGAGGTAATAAACCAATAAACCTGGCTATAGATTACTGAGCTCCTACCATGGGACAAATCTGTGCTATATATTTTATCCTGTTTAATCTTTATAATAAATCAGGGAGGTAAAAAACCCTACTGCCAAACAAGGACACAAGACACATTGCAAGGTTAAGCCATATAGTCATTGCTCAATTAGTCAGTTCTGAAGAAAAATTTGGAATCCATGTCTTCTAGCCCCCCTCCAGCCTATTTTCTAACTAGTTGTCTCCAACTAGCACAAAGCCAACCACTTTGTGTATATTTTACAATGTGAAGCCTATATGAGGTAATTCAAAAAATTCATGGAAAATTGGAATTAAAGTAAGAGTTTATTTTGGTTCTAAAAAAAAGTCTGGATAATATGCATACTTTTTTGATAATGTTCACTCTCCATTAACTTTTAAAATATCTCTCATATTAGAATGGTAATACATGCCTATCACATATACATGCTTAATTATAAATTAATAAGAATATGTTTATTGAAGTATATGCTCAAAAAACTTAATGTTGTGAAGATGCAATTAAAATTTGCGAGATCATTGCTTAAACTTCCAAACTGCCTTTTTGCCTTGTCCTATACTCAACAATAAACTACATTCACTTTATATGACCTTCATATGTTACCTTTAAAATGCATTTGAGTTCTAATTGATAACTATCTAGGTTGTAGGTTCTTTTCATGTCATTCCTTAGTTTTTGCAGAAATTCATGAAGGCTTTGGCTCATTTGGTGCTTTGTGATAGTGGAAGAAATAAAAGGCTTAGAACACCAGACCTGGGTTCAAATATCAGCTTTTACCTTACTGATTGTGGTCTCAGCCAAATACCTAACTTTTCAGAGTCTCGGGTTATTGATCTATAAGGTGGAGATATTTCCCTTGCAGATTGTTGTAAAGTGTAGCAATATCCTAGGCAGATGACTTAGCATTGGGCCCGCCAAACAGTACATACTTTTTTTTTTTTTTTTTTGAGAAGATTTTGCTACAGGGCATATGCGCTCACCAGACAGACAGAGAGAGACAGAGAGAAAGAAAGCGAGAAATCACCCCCCAGGAGGATGGCCACGCCACAATCCCTTCTCCTCCATTCTCCTTTTGGGATCTTGGGCACGCATGCACATGCGTCCGGTGTGAGATTTAAGCCACCGTGTCCGGGATGCAAACCACGGTCGACTACTTGTGAGTCCAGCGACACAGCCATTATGCTAACTACTGGTCCGAGTACATACTTTTAAAATGGCAGTAGTAGTAAAAATAGCAATGGCATTTGTTTGTTATAGAGAACATCTATAGCGCAATAGTTATCTCCCCTCTAAAATCAGGTTGCATATGCTTTTGGCAGTTTGGCCTATATTTTTAATTCAACTTGGAAATGTATATAACTATAAGCAAAAGTGTTTTCCTGAAATAGGTAGGGACGTTGTCTCTGGCCATGTGTTTTGGGGAATGTTGTTTACATGTATCACAATGAGAACGGCTACCCCTGGCCTGTGTCGAATGCCAGTACCATAGGTAGACTGGCATAAATGTGGAGGGCCAGATATCTGGCAGCCTCATCAGAATCAAAGGAGACAGACACCTCTGCCCACACTTGCACTAGTTAGTATGTTGAATGCCTCTTATGTTGAATGCCTTTCTGCTTGTTTGATGCTCTCCACAGATCTGCACTCCTGACTTGGTGGTATTTCTGGCTTGTGCCAATCAAAGGCTTAAAGAAAGGTTACTGAAGCGTGCAGAACAACAGGGGCGTCCTGACGACAACCTGAAAGCTACCCAAAGACGACTGATGAACTTCAAGCAGAATGCTGCTCCGTTGGTTAAATACTTCCAGGAAAAGGGACTCATCATGACAGTAAGTTAGCTCTACTTTTACACATCCAGTTTAAGAATAATCTTTCTGAATTTTCATTAACCCATGTTCTCACTTAGAGATCCTCTTTACTTTAATGAGTGGCTTTATGGGCCAGCAGGTGATGTGGTGGTTAAGGTGCTGGATCCCACATGGCCGACTCTGTCGTTCAAGCCCTGGACCCACTCTGAGCATGTGTGCCCAAAATTTTAAGAGGAGAGTGAAAAAAACAGTATTGCTATGCAGCTATTCCCCCTGGGTGGTGATTTTTCACTTTCCCTCTTTTGGTCTCTACAGCAAGAACACACATCCACATGGCAAAAAAATAATAAAAAATAAAAGTGGCTTTTAGGGGAAGAGGTTTGCAGAACCAATTTCTAAAAAATCAGTCATTTTGACTTGATTGGTCTTTATTAAGCCATAATGATCTTTAAAAAACAAAACAAAAGGACCAGCAGTTAGCGTAACAGCAGTGTCGCTGGACTCCCATGTAGTCAACGATGGTTCGAGTCCTGGACCCGGTGGCTTAAACTCACACCGGGCAGCGTGGCCATCCCCCCCTGGGGGGTGATTTCTTGCTTTCTGTCTCTCTGTCTTTCTGGTGAGCGCACATGCCCTATAGCTAAAAACCTCTCCAAAAAAAAAGAAAAAAAACCCTTCATTTTAACTTGGTTGATTTTTGTGAAAGATGATAAATTAAATGATAAACATAGAATTTTCTATAGCCTCCAAGCAAAGTATTTTTTTTATTTTTGCTATAGGGCTTGTCAGAAAGACAGAGATAGAAAGTGAGAAATCACCCCCCGGGGGGATGGCCACCCCACAATCCTTTCTCCTCCATTCTCCTCTCAGGATGTTGGGAATGGACGCACACGCACCCAGCATGAGTTTAAGCGACTGCGTCTGGGACTTGAACCGCAGTTGACTACATGGGAGTCCAGTGACATAGCCATTATGCCAACTGCTGGTCCCACAAAAAAGTATTTTAAAATCAGTATTTGGGGAATTTTAAGCAACACATGCCCTGTTTTTCAATTCTTTTGTCATTGGAAACCTAGTAAAATTGATGAACTTATAAACACACAATTGACATGGTAATATAGTAGATTTAAATTGTTAGTTAAGCTTTATCATAATATACTACATAAAGAAATGAGATTCTGACAGCACAAAAAAGCTTGATAAGAGTGTGGTTTGTCATAGAGAAATGAGATCATATTGAAATGTGAAGTATTACCCTTTCTGCTCTATTTGATACAATGCAAATGTTGATGTTTATCTGAATATTTAGTTAATTTTTTTGTGGTTAATGATATTCAGTGTGCCAATAAAAGGTGATGCTAAATCATTATTCAATAAAGTTTTTAGAATCTAGAATTTTAAAGTTGAAGGTTCAGCTAAGGAAATGATCTACCATATCAGAAATTTAAGTATTATGGTATAGAGGAAACATAGGCCTCCTGAAGAAAGCACTTTATGGAAGAGGACACTAAAATGACAGCAGTTCTGTGACAGCTGGATGGTGGCTGAACTCTCTCCTATGTGGCCATGGGCCTTGTCCACCAGACCATAGGTTCTCATCTAGTGGAGTTAGAAGAACCTGATGAGAGTGATACATACCTATCCCAATAAAATGCACATAGAACGGTTTTCACAAATTTTAGGTAAGTCAGCTGGAGCCCAAACACAGAACTGTGACCTAACAATTTCTAGGTTAAAACTTCATTAGAGGAATTAACAGAAGGCACATTGGTTACATCGCTGGACTCCCACTTAATCAACCGTGGTTCGAGTCTCAGACTTGACAACTTAAAACACACCAGGTGTGTGTGTGTGTGTGTGTGTGTGTGTGTGTGTGTCCAAAATCCCAAGAGGAGAATAGAGGCGGGATTGCAGCATGGCCATCTCCCCAAGGTGAGGATGATTTCTTGCTTTCTGTCTCTGGCAAGCACACATGCCCTATAGCAAAAGTCTCTCTAAAAAGCAAAACAAAACAAAACACAAAAAAACCTCTTCATTAGACTAAGATGCCCTTAGACCTGAAAGAGTCATGACATTTGAATAATAATCTCTGTGCAGTCTTTTTAGCACTCTACTTATAAAGAAATTATTTGCTTTCTAAATCGAAGTCTTCATGACAAAGGGTAGTAAATCTGATCTAAAAGCCGTCCGCAATGCCAGAGTTCATTTTTTGGTTGAAAATAGACATTAGGCAATAGGAAAGATTCAGGAAAATCGGGGACGATATTTCTGTGGCTATTTTTGGTTGGAGTTGTTGTTTGGTTTTCTCCCCGGTTAAACCAATGCTGACTTCTGCATTATCATGAAAAAAGAACTTTACCCAACAGACCAAACCCCAACTGCTAGGTGCAGAGCCACAGATTTAATTGATGTGTGCAAGGCTTAAGGTATTATTGGAGTGTCTCTGATTACTCCCTGCTTGTCACGTTCATCATCACAAGCAGAGCAGATTGCCCAAATGAATGCAGAGCGGGGATTGTTAATTTACTAATATTTTGCATGGAGGTGAAATGGCATTGCCTCTAATTGCGGGAGTCAATAACAATGTGGATGACAGCCGGTAACCTTACTGCTAAATCCAAAAGAGCTTTAAGATAAACACCTCCAATTACTGGGAGAGCACTTGCCTTGGAAAGTCACCTTTTGGAAAGCAGTGAACACAAACATGGACTGAGCTCTGGGGGAAATAATTTGAAAAAGTAATCTAACAAGGAAGTACTGCATCCTAAAACACATGTCAGCCTGTATCACAGTTCACTTTTGGGATTAAAATATATTTGATACCCTATCAAATATATTTTGCTTTTAAAGATGAGTCAAATATTAAAAATAATCATCATTGTTAATCACAGGCATGTTAAGATTTTAATTAAAATTTTAAGATTAATAAATAAAATCCAAATATTTCTTTTTCTCTGTAGTTTTCCTTTTTTTTTTCTTTTGTTTCTGCTTTCCCCTCCTGGTTGATTCATTTATTCATTTAGTAAATATTTGTTGACAGCCAAGGTACTCTGCTAGGTGCTAGAGGTTTTATCTAGATAAAGAATAAAGATCTTCACTTTATTCACTGACATATTCCAACCACCTCACACAGTACCTGCTGGACACATAATAAGCTCCCAATAAATGAACAGAGCTTACAGTCTGGGGAAAGAGATATTAAACAATGAGTTGTTAAGTGTGATACCTGCTGAATTGCTAGACGTGAAGACTGATGAGTTATTAAGTGTGAGAATGTGTAGTGGCCTCACATATGTCATGCACAATTTTGGAAACTTGAATTACCTCTAGTGAAAAGAACAGAC